AAGGTCCATGCATGTGACCAAATAGGCTCATTCTATTGGCCTAGTAGCTCATTAATTATGTATGAGTTTTTTAATTGCTGGTGATCAATTATGCACTAGTCAATTGAAACCTCCGACCCCCGGGGAATACCGGGGAATTTAACGTTTGAGTGGTGTTAAAATAAGACATTTTCCCCGGTAGTCGGGCCACATTCATTGTTAAAATCCCCGCTACTGTTGTCCCCTTATTTTGGTCTAGTAGTAAATAAAACAAACACCTTTCAATCAAATTTTCTGTGATACACAGGGTGAATTTTTGTATAATCCTGTGTACTCATTTTCGTACTACATGAGGCTCACTGGACGGAGAAAAACGTGTGTAATAAGTTTCTTTTAAAAACATTCATGCAATGAAAAATAAAAAAAGCGGGGTTGAATACCAATGCCTTCAGGGTAATTCTCAGGATGACCGACCTCTAGTTTCCAGCCTTATGCATGCTTCAAACGCGCGTTAAAATTCCCGCTCTTTGCCGCGCTTCGAAAGTAATTCATGAAAATCCCGACCCCCGGGGGCAATCTTGCTGTTAAAAGCACGGTTCAAAACGCGTCACGTCCCCGTTCAGTTCCCCGCTAGCCCCGGGTGTCGGGGTCGGGGGTTAGGGGTTGGGGGGCGGTGTTTCAATTGACTAGTGCATTAATTGTCTAAGACTCGAAAACTCGTTGCATATAGCATCTTTTCTTCCATAAATCTAATTGTAAAAGTGCGAATAGGTATATGTAGACAAACAACGATGATCAACGGCACAGCCTTGCCCAAGTCGAGGTAAAAGACGCCAAGACATCAAAATCCTTACCGTGTCCCAAAATTTAATTTCGATTTTTCATACCCTATTCAAATGAAAACTAAAAATTGTATACCCTATTTTGCAGTTACTTTTAAGGGAATTTACATTATCTCATGTTTCAGTCATTTTGCTGGTGAACAATTAATATTGTCTAAAACGAAAACTCGTTGCATCTAGTACCTTCACTTTTTTCCATATCGAATTACAAAGTGGGAATAGCCTCAAAAAAAGGTTGTCAGATAAAATAGCCAATGTCAATTATCGAACAGCGATTGCACGACCTAAAGCAACAATGTTTTTTTTCTAAAAATTGATGAGAAATAAGTGACTTATCCTGTAAGATCTCCGAGTTAAAAAAAGATATCTTGCTTGCTTCGCATGGCTCAAGCACTCTCCTAGCAACATGTAGCAAGTGTACCATAAGCAAGTAGCCATTGGTAAGTCACAACTGGTTGCCAGCTAGAAATTCAGGAAAAAGAACTCTCCAGCCAAGGAATACTTTTTAAGAATTTTTGCTAGGAAAACAAAAATTCCTTAACTAACAAAAAATATTGGACGCTTTTGACCATAAAAACATTATATAAGCCTTTTTTGACCTTAAAACGTTTGTCAGGAAAAAAATGTTTTAAAGAAGAAAGGGCGCCACATTTCAGACATTTGCTTTTGAGATTAGAATTAACAATGTAGCTCAAAATCCCTTTGCCAGGAAAATATTCGTACAATAACAGTTATTTACAGGTACAGACACCGTTGGCTCTTCCTCATAAAGCAGGCTCACCTCTCTGGATGCCTTTGCGTATCGTGTTGTGGTTCTTCTGTGTCGATATTTGACCGAGAAAGACTTGATTTGAAAAATGACCAGAGCTGGCCAAGAACAACGACAACGAAGGCTCGGGGGAACGAGATTGACTTGTTGACATCTTCGCACGTGTGATGCTGACTCGATCGAACTCTGCATGAAATTTTAATCCTAAATATTCCCTTCATCGTGTTTTGTTCTCAGGTAAGGGCTGAATGACATTAATTTATGATATTTGAAGCCTTGAATTGGCTTTGATGAGAACACG